AAAGATAAAAGGGCCTCCCCTGGTGGCGCAGCGGTTGAGCGCTGTGCCGGTTCGATACCTGGCCACCAGGCGAGGGTCCCACATGGCACGCAGACCTCTCCTTCCATGCCCGCTGCTCTCCTCAGCAGTGTACTTCAACAGTCTGCCTGTTCTGCTCCCTGCGCTGGCTCTGGTGAATTCTCTCACTCTCCCACACTTCTGACTGTACCCAGTGCTTGTATAAATAAATAAATAAATCCATAAAAAAAAAGATAAAAGAGGAGAACAGATTATCTTTTTTCTAAATTTGAAATTTTGGTATCTGCTATACCTAATTACTAGTGATTCAACTAGTTATCCAGTAATTCCAGGGATTAGGAAGAGAGATTAAAAGAGAATTCTTAAGTTTGCTTATCAGGAGACAAAATTGGGTTTGGAATACTTGAAATCACTAGAGGAACTGTGCTAAAGGCTAGTTTTAAACTTGGGTACACTTCAAAGGTGGGACTGCTCTGCTGTCATTAATAGATCCAGTTCCAAATCAAAGAGAAACTTATTTAAAATCAGCATGTGCCACTGGAAAGCAAGGCATTTGCAGTTGATCTCAGTTTCTGGCTCTACTTGTTTTAATTTAGCCATCAGAAAATTTTTGTCAGGGACATGAGCCTGCAAATCTTGTGATATGGGGGCAGGGGTGAGCTTTGTAAAGGGAGCTCAAGTATACCAAACAGGGTGTTGCCCAGTTACTGGTGTTGTTCAATAATATGTATTAACAATAGAAAAGTCATAGTAACAGACCAAATCTTAATGTGCTTGGTATCCCATAAGCCAGATAACACTCGAGAATAAAGCAAGAGTAAATTGCAAGACTAGCCACAGCTTTTATGGATCTGTTCAGGACGACTAATGAAAACTTTAAATGCACATCCGTCACACGAACATTCTGAATGCCAACCAATTCTATAAGTCTGAAGTTCCCTGCCAGACTTCACAACACCACTATTAATATACAGAATCCCCCAGAAACAAATACAAAAGTTGAAGACCAGTATTTATGGGCATGTTAGTTATAGCATTATTTATAATAGTAAAAAATTGGGATGTTAAATTCAAACTTTTTCATTTTACTTTCATTACTAATACATGCACTTACATGATATCTTTTCAGTTGTTTAAATAGTAATACATGCCACATAATTGTCAACTGCCACAAAAACTACTATGTAATTGTTATTGATAGATGATAGCATGTAAAGTTCCTGCCCCCACATGTGACTATATAAAACCAAAAAAAAAACTTGTTTCTCAGTGGATAACCTCTGAGGTACAGGGCTTAAACCTTGTGATCTGCATTAAAATTCACCTTGTCCAAAGTACAGCCTTCTCAGACTAAAAAAATTACCATAAGAAATCTTAGTATTTCTATAAGTTAATAATGAACTATCAAAAGAGAAACAGAACGACAATCCCATTTACATTCACATGAAAAATAAATACCTAGAAATAAATTTAACCAAGGAGGTGGAAGAGCAGTATTACTGCAAATTACCAGACATTGCTGAAAGAAATAAACACACAAAGAAATGGAAAGATATTCCATGCTCATGGGTTGGAAGAATTAACATTATTAAAATGGCAATATTACTTAAAGCAATATACAGATTTGATTGCAATTGCTATCAAAATCCCAACAGCATTCTTCACAGAAATAGAACAAAACAACTTAAAATTTATTTGAAACAACAGAGGATGCTGAATAGCAAAAACGATTCTAAGAATAAAAATGTAAGTATCATTACATTTGTTCCCTGACTACAAACTACTCAATAAGGCTACAGTAAGCAAATCAGAATGGCATTAGAATTAAGAATAGGAATACAGATCATGGGAACATAATTAAGAAACCAGAGATAACCTCCACATATAAGTGTAACTAATTTATGCCCAAAGAGCCAAGAACATACAATGGAGAAAGGAACAACCCAACAAGTGCTCTTAGAAAAACTTGAGTCACATGCAAAAAAAAAAAAAAGAAAAGAAACTGGATCTCCATCTATATCATACAAAAAATTAACTCAGATATGATTAAAGATTTAGATGTAATACCTGAAACCATAATACACAGAGACAAAAACACAGGTAATATGCTCCTTGACACTGGTTTTAGGGATGCCTTTGGGGATTCATCTCCAATGGGAAGGGAAACAAAAGATAAATAGCTGGGACTATATCAAACTTAAAGGCTTCTATACAGCAAAGGAAGTTATCATCAAAATGAAAAGTCATATTGCTGAGTAGGAGAAGGTATTTGCAAATCACATATCCAACAAGGGGGTCATATCCAAAAATATAAAAACCTCATATAACTTAACAACAAAAAGACAAACCATCCAATTAAAAATGGGGTGAGGATCTGAATAGACCCTTCTCCAAAGACATACAGATGGGCAACGGACACACCTGAAAAGATGCTCAACATTTCTTATTAATATGGAAATGTAAATTAAAACAACAATGAAATAGCACCTTACACCTGAGAATGGTATTATCCAAAAGACAAGAAACAAGTGTTGGAGAAGGTGTGGAGAGAAAGGAATTCTAGTACAATATTAGTGGGCATGTAAATAGATGCAATTATGACAGCAAATAGTATTCCTCAAAAAATTAAAAATAGAAATTCCATACAATCCTGTTATTCCATTGTTAGGAATCTACCTGTAAAGTATATGCAAATACTTATTTGAGAAGATATGTGCACCCCTAATGCTCATTGTAGAATGGTTACAATACTTGAGAGCTGGAAAACACCGAAGTGTTCATTCATAAATGACTGAATAAAGATGATGTAGCATAGAGTTACACACAATGGAATACTACTTAGCTATAAAAAAGATGAAATCCTGCCATTTGTAACAACATAGATAAGCCTACATGGTATTATGCTTAGTGAAATAACTCATATGATGAAAGACAAACACTGTATGATTGCACTCACTTGTATATAAAGAAATGAAACAAATGAAATAAATAAGACAAAACTTTTAAACTATAAGGCAATTTAATGTTTACCAGAGGGAAGGGGAAAAGACTGAATTAGACTTTAATGGTAAACTTAATGTAGTATAGATGTTGATTTTTAATGATGCACACATGAAACTTCTATATTACATATAATATTATATGTAATGTCATTTCAATTAAAAAATACAAAAAATAGAGAGGTATATTTGTAAAGCTAAAAATTTCCACCTTGACTCCTTTCACTTTCTCTATGTAATAATAAATGCCTTTAGACATTTCTTGAAAGAGCCTATGGATCAGATATTGTGTTAGGCTTGTCTTAGCCTTGTCACCTGACTTAATTCAGTCAATACATGAGTTTATAATCATAACATCCTACTCAAATACAACCTCACAATTACAAAGTTCTCCCGCACCCATGATCTCATTTGTGTCACACAATGGACTTTAAGGAAGAAAAAGTAGGTAACATCATTCCCATTTTATAGACCAGGAAATTAAGGAGAAATGCCACTTTGTCTGGTTTTGTGAGTTAGATAGCAGCTTCTTGGGAAGGCAAAGGACGACAGATTTCCAAGGGAACACATATGAAATTTTGGTTGGGAATGTGAGAATACTGTGTCTCTGAGAAAGGGGTTTAGGTTAAGGATGTGATGATAAAATATTGGAGTAGGAAGATAAACTCCACATAGGGCATGGTATTGCCTAGAGAGAGTGCTGTGTGAATGATTTCCATCTCCAGCTGTTTAGTTTCAAAGTCAACACAAATCCACACATCCAGGAAGCCGTTCTTAATTACCTCGCACAAAGTGACCACAACAATAGCACGTTGAGGTTTTTGCCTGACTTAGCTCTGTACAACATCGTGATAAGTTTTTAAGGCAGGCTTTGATAACTGTTTTACAAATGAGAAAAATGAAGCTGACGTGGTTAATAAGCAGCCAAGTCAGATTTCAAACCATATCACATCATGCTGCTTCAGATCCCTATGTACACACCATATCTTATGTATCGCCCATAAGCGGACTATGAGTTCTTTGAGGGAAGACAACGAGCATTACATTTCTTAGCAGAGCTCCATGTACACAGAAGGTTCTCAATAAATACCATACGTTAAATATCTCTTTGGTAGGAACAAAATTATTAAGATGAATTTTTTTGGTGCTCTGAATGTCAGGCTCTCTGCTTCATGTAATTAAAGCAAGTGAACACAAGATGTATAATTTCCCCTAGCTCTAGCTTCATCAGGCATTCATTATAACATTTGATTCCATGTTATATGAAAAGAGGTGCTTAGTAAGCATTTTGTGTGATGAGGCCAATCAAATACATCCAGATAGCAGAGACATTTTTTAAAAGGCAAAAATAACCATTGAACATATGGGGAGACAGTGATCTATGTGGTATAACATTCTACCCTTCCAAGGCAAAGGGACTCCTTGCCTAATTTGGGACAGGTGGTTAATCAAGAACACTGAGAAAAGCCAGGTCACTAACCAGGACCTTGTACCAGTATACTGTGTTAAGATACAAGGGCACCAAGCATGCCACTGCTCTGGGTCAGAAATAGAAGAAAGGTCCACTTTCCAGGACTTTCTGGAAGAAGAGCTTTGCTCTGAGACCTTTTGTGCATAGCAGTTATTTCATTACTATTTTCATTGAGAGGCAAGAAATAAATATACGCAGTAAACAACTTATTAGCCTGATGGGTCTCATTCCATTTGCCCTTCCAACATGTATCATTAGTTTATAGTTTTGCAAATATAAAGGACTTAACAAATTCATGGAGATCAGAATTTGTATGGCAGAGATTAACTGAAGTACACTGGGTAACCTGAGCTGATGACAGCAGCTACCACATTTTATTGCCAACCACTCAGTCATCTTATAAGTCATGGAGAGGCAGGACTTATTTCCTTTTTGTTATAAATTCCCACATACCTGAGGGCATTTAACCAACATCAAGCAAGAAAAGCAAATACCAGGTGGGTGGTACTTACATTTGCATCCTCATGGCTGTGACCATTGGTCTCCACCAATTCCTTGGTGCCTTTTAACTGCAAATTTTAAGAAAGAAGAAAATTGAAATAAGAAAGCATATTTGTTCAATGTATATCATCCTGTTAACTCAGATTTATCTGAGATTGCACTTTCTAAAACTTCAATGAAAAACACAGGCAGAGGGCCTCCATGGTGGCGCTGGCAGTTGAGCGCTGCAACTGTGAAGCTGTCCGCGCAACCTCCACAGCGTGGGTTGGATCCTGGCCCACCAGTGAGAATCCCACATGGCATGGCAGACCTCTCCTGCCTTGCCTGCTGCTCCCCTGAGCAGTGTATTTTGTCAGTCTGCCTGTTCTGCTCCCTGCTCTGGTGAATCCTCTCACCCTCTCACACATCTGGCCTGTACCCCAGTTCTTGTATAAAAATAAATAAATCTTTAAAAAAAAGAAAAGAAAAACACAGGCAGAGTACATAATTCTAATGAATCTTATTGAAACCAGTTCGAAGCAATATTTTATGAAACTCGATGTCTGGCAAAAAATAAATGGGCTTCGGTCATTATTTTTTAAAATAATAAGATTAGAAAGCAGTTCCATAGGCATAAAATGCACAGTTGGTTCTTAAGAATAATAAACGACTTCATTTCCTTGTTGTATTGCTATTAATTTCAACCTTGCAATGTTTTCAAGTTGCCACCAGCTAAATGATGTTACACTAACAATATTGGAGAATGATATCTTTTCAGTTGTTTTAATATGCCATGGTACTACTGTACATGGCCGCCTTGAGAACATACTTGAATGACTGACATTGTTTCTCGAGGCCTAAAAAAAGATTATGATTTGCTTCTTTTTCGTAAAGGAAGAATTGGGAAGACATCTCCTTAGCGGCTGAGGCATTAGAAGAAAAGCTATTTCTCAAATGAGATTTTTAACAATGAACATTTGAAAGCTCCACTCCCTCTACTCTCTCTCCAAAGGCTTAGGAGTAAGCAGTTATCAGGAGATTTCTGGAAACCTTTAATTGGCATTTTATCCTAGCCAGGCTCTACGCAGACATTTGGGGGCAGAGAGGAAGGCAAAGGGGGAAGAGGGAGCAGGTCTTGCCATCTATTTGCCCATATTTTTTTATTGCTTATTATGCTCAGGAAGCAGCATCTTCTGTATCATCTTTTTTTTTTTTGGCCTAAAATAAAGTCATCATGGTGGGAAATAAATGCTGAAAGTTCGAGGGAGAGTGCATTTTTGAAAGAGAGTGAGAGAGAGAGAGGCTCAGAGCTATGTCTATTTCATCAGGAGTTAAATATTCGGACCGAATCAGTCTTTTAATAATGGATAGAAGGGCAGAACAGAGATTTCCATACCCTAGAAAGGAGGTCACTGTGAATTTAGTCAATATGTTGCAATTCAATCTAAAATATCCCAAACCATATAGATTCAGCCTCGGTCTGAATAACTGAATCTGTATTAACTATATATAAGGAAAGTAATGTGTCTCTGGTTTATGGTTGCTTAACCAAGATGACAATGCATACATTGTGCAAAAATGAAAAATGATATAAAAATATATAAAATAAAAAAAAATTAAAAAAAGTTACAAAAATATGTAAAATAAAAAAGTAATGATTAATTTTATAAAGCATTTTCCTCCAAAGTTACAAAAGCTTATAAACTATCCAATCTATTCATTTTTCCCTCACAAATCACTTATACTTTTAGGGGAAGCCTAATATCTAGATCCCAGACAATTCAAAAAAATAAATCACTATAAAGTAACAGAGTCACATTGACTAGGGTTAAAAACTCCCAACTTGGTATTTTTTTAAATATCTCAATTTGAAATTGTTTTTACTGTACAAATAACCTACTCATGAAGCTTTGTGAATGAAAAATTCAGAACTACCTAAATTTGATCACTCCCAAAGGGTTGAGGTTATCATGTGCTTTTTTTCCCTCCCAATTACCATTCAAAATGTTGGCAGCAAGTGAGGGTTAGAAGTAGCAAAGCATTTCAAGAGCTCTCCCATTTTTGCCTTTGTAGATACTGGGCTTAGACTTCACCGTGCTGCTAAGCAATCCATCTTACCTGGCTGTAAGACAATACTTTCAAATCCACTTATCAATGTCAGGCCACGCTTTAGTATCAAAGGAAACTGGGATGAAACGATTAGATTTACAAACTTCATATAAAAGGTTTGTTGCTCGCCATGGTGAGATAACTGCCCTCATGCACAGGGAAGGTTATTTTTTCTCAAATTGCTGACTCAGTCCCTCTTGTGCACATGTCTGCAGGCCTACCCCAGGTCATGCCAAATTCATTTTCATCACTGTTTGACTTAAGAGGAAACTAGCTGCTTGCTTGGAATTATATCTGCATTGCTAGCTAGCTTTTTTTTTTTTAATATTTATTTATGCATACAAGAACCGGGGTACAGGCCAGAGGTGTGGGGGGTGAGGGGATTCACCAAAGACAGAGTGGGGAGCAGAACAGGCAGACTGACTGAAATGCACTGCTGAGGGGAGCAGTGGGCGAGAAAGGAGAGGTTTGCTGCGCCATGTGGGTAGCTCCCTGGCTGGGGATCGAACTTGTGCCCCAGTGGCTGCGGATAGCTTCATAGGTTGCATCTTAACCCCTTGTGCCACCAGGGAGGCCCTGCACTGCTAGTGTTTTATAACTTTATTATAATCCATTTGTCTTCTGGAAGAAACTTTTCACACACTGCCGGCAGACCTGTGGGCTAAAGAGGGACAAGAGAACAGTGATGCTGGGAATGAGAGAAATTCCATGCAGCAAAGCTGCTCAGCGGCTCAGCAGGGCAGCTGGCTCAAGGGACTGCAGATGAACTTCAGTCTGTGCACGTACAGCACGAGGGAGGGGCTAGGTATCTGTGCTCATTCACAATTAGGACCCTTTTGCACTTACTTGTTCCTGGAGGACTTTAAGCAATGCTTGTGTGTGTGACTGCTCTTCCTTTGCTTGTTCCAATTCTGACTTTTTGTTGTTTAACTCCTCCTGGATGGTCAGCAGTTGCTGTGAAGTAAAAGAGCATTTAGGCTAAGTATGACTGAATGCTAGGTGACTGTAATCATAAAAATATTAGATGTTTCATCAGCATTATCAAGATTTATAGCAGTAAGATTAAAAAAGTTATTTCAAAGAAAAATTTTAATGCATAGAAAATCCAAACTCCACATAACATGAACATGTTCCTTTTGTGCTTCTGATACTATTGGTTATATTTTTGCATGTTGCATCTGTTTTAATAAAAATTAGCACTGTGAAAATAAGACAAGACTTTTACATCTTACAAGTTGAATCCAGATTTTGTGGACTTGTTTGTGCATCCCACCTCCTCATCCTCTCACACTGTAGCAAGTACTGTGGGTTGTGACACAGCAGGCTGTTTGTGATACCGAAGTACAGAAACTTGTTTTTTCATATTTTGTGAAAGCACCGTTCTGTTTTTGGGGAGTGTTCATAAATGACACATTGATAAGTCAAGAGATTAAAATAAAAAATGATATAATGAGTCAACGTGTGCAGGTGATGTCATTTTCCATATGCTAGGAAGCCAGCTTTAGTATAGCTCTGCATAGCTGCTTCACCAAGTGTCCAGGAACAAAAAAAGATCCTTTTACTTTCTCTGTTATGACGGTGATGTTTTATTAGATCAGCAGGACTGAAGTCCAAACCGCAATCAATACATCAGCTGAGAACTGCTGATACAAACTGTCAAAACACTAAGCTATGGCCTACACTGCTATTTTTAAGCAGGGCCACTGAGGGGATTTTTGTAAGCCTTGAGCTTGTCTTGCCCTATCAACTGTAACTCATGTGGAAGCCCACCTCGTCTGCCAAAGCCAGAGCTGCCCAGCGCTAGTTCTTTGGTACATGGTTATATGTTCGTAAGTATACCGGAGGACACAGTCAAGGGCTTCAAAACACGGCCTGCAAACAGCTATGTCTATTCAAAGCTTCTTGACCACAAAGGATTGGTTTGAAAAGACAGAAGGGTCCTTCTTGGTCGCCATCTATAACAAATGCTTCTCTAATGATATGAAGATGTTAGTGCATTCCTGCCACACGGACAGCCATCTCCAAGTCAATGCTGCTTTGTCAGGGCTTGCCAGCCTGCTGCACAGCTGCCGGGCCAGTTCTTCACTATCAAGGTCCGAATAAACACAGACACTGGATTTCTGATGCTTAAACCTACCAACTGGAAGGATTAAATCTGCACAACCACTAGTGTGGGGGTATTGTTGGGGGGGGGGGTGTAGAAGTATTCAGAAAAACACACTCTGCTTTCCCTTGGGCTTGTTTTTCTGTTCCCTATTCTGGTACTGGGTAGAAATTTAAGAAGCTACTTTGGTCCTTTAGCATCAACAAAGATTTCCTCATAATTTTCTAAAAGCTTGCCACCTATTTCACCACTTGCTCACATCATAATCACATGTGAGGTGATACATCCCACACTGGCTCCCTGAACACTTTATGTGATTTAATTGTGCATTAATTAAAGTACAGGAATCAGGGAGCCCATATTGTATTTTGGCACCATGACAACTACCTAAAATGATTATTTCCAAACAGTAGGGAGTGACTCTGTTCCTTCTTCTCTTTCATGCCTGGCCCCAGAACAGTTCCAAGGGGATCTGGTGCTCTGACTATGATGATGTAAAGTGAATCTTACATCATTAGATGATTTCCTATCCAATCTCTGAGTCTCCTTCAAAAATGAGCCAAATGAAGGGCAGGACATTGTCCTCAAAGGTAGGCAGCTAGGTTTGTTCTCTGTAGCCCTCGTGGTAGCAAAGCTAAGAAACAGTGGCTATTTAGCAGAAGGGGTTGGCCACATTCCTGAGTGCACATCTGTATAATGGCGCACTGTGCAGCCATTCACAATGAATCTGAACCAGTCTCTGTAGCCACAGAAGCAGTTCACAATACCCTGCTCCCCACACATCAAGTTCGGGTTATGAAAAGGTTTCACTGAATCCTACAATGTATTCACAGAAAAGTGCTTGGATACTGTCTTTGAGTGAATAGGTTTATGACTTAGTTTTGCTTATCAGTTTTCTGGTCTGTCTGTAAAGAGCATATACTGCTTTAGTAATGAGAAAAAGAAATTAAGATTGGGGGAGAACAAGGGTTTCCACTTTTACAAAACTTTGAGCTATTATCCCCAGCACTGTGAGTAAAGAGGGAAAGGAAGAACACCCGGGGAGTCTTCCATGTCACCTACAAATTTAGGATGCTGCTTCAATTTTTAAAACACACCCACCCAGCCTTCCCTTGACTTGTGTTTCCATTTAAGTTTCTATCTGTCTCATTCTTTCTTGGGATAACAATTTTAAATAAAACATCACTCGAGTCCCTGGCCCCTGCTTCTTTTCTCACATGTAAGCAATCACTTCAGTGGTTCAGTCTTTTTGTAAAAGTGTTTTTCCAAAATATGTATTGCTGTTGGTTTTTATAAATATGCTTTCCTTTAAGTGGCATTGTCAAATTTCTTACTGCTTATATTTTTTACTAAGTAATCCAGGTTGATATGTGTTTTCTAGTCTGTTACTTCTGTGGGCTACATGATATTCTATGGTGTGTGTCCATTCAGCTACATCTAATTCTGCCACTGAAGGCCACTCAGGTCTCTCCCCAGCTCCCACCCTGTCCATGAGTACAATGGGGCTTGCCATACATGTTCCCTTTTGGGTTGGTGGGAAATTTTCTGAGATGTGTATCCAGTTGGGGAAGTGCTGGTTCACAAAACGTGCCTCAAGAATTAACTTACCAGGGTCTTCCCTGGTGGCACAGCGGTTGAGCACCTCTGCAGCACCGGTTTGATCCCCGGCTACTGGCGAGAGTCCCACATGGCGCGACAGACCTCTCCTGCTGTGCCCACTGCTCCCCTCAGCAGTGTATTTCGTCAGTCTGCCCGTTCTGTTCCCAGCTCTGGCTCTGGTGAATCCTCTCACCCTCCTGCACTTCTGACTATACCCAGTGCTTGTATAAATAATAAATCTTTTAAAAAAATTAACTTACCAAACCTACTCTCCCGAACCAGTGGTCCAGCCCCCAAGGCCTTTAGCAGCACTTGAAACGTGCCATGTCCCTCATCTATACTAATACTTAGCATGTTTCAGCTTTCTAATTTTTGCAAGTCTACTAATGGAAAGATTCTCCATCTTTTAAAAATTGTGTACCTCTCAGACTCCCTGTGATTTGGCACATCTCATCATATGCTTTTTAGCTATTGAGGTTTATTTATGCATCTTAAAAGAATGACCAGAGACAGTGCTTCCTAAGTCTGGGGAACTTTAAAAAATATGATTCCTGGGTCCCAGTGATGACATTTATGTCAGAATATCAAGAAATGGGATGCAGGCAATGGCACCTTTTTTATTTTATTTTTTCAGCAGCTATTCTTTTCTTTTCATTACATTATTTTTTATTTTTTTTAATGACACTGTTATAGCCCCTTAGTTCTCCCTCCACATATCACCTGTGAACCATCACCATATTCCCTTGTGTTCTTCCCTTTTTTGTTTTGACCTCCTTCCATCTCCTCCCTTGCTGAAATGCCTCAGATCTGCAGTTAGCTTTCTAGTTTGGGCTGTATCTTGACCTTTCGTATGTTTCTCTACATTCCACATACAACTGAGACCATCCTATATTTTTCTTTTTCCTTCTGACTTATTTTCACTAGCATAATCCCTTCCAGCTCCATCCATATTGCTGTAAGTGGCTTGAGTTCATCTTTTTTGATAGCAAGTAATACTTCATTGTGTCAAAATATATACCACAACTTTTTGATCCATTTATCTATTTTGGGACATTTGGGTTGTTTCCATATCTTAGCTATTATAAACCTGCACAGGAGTGCAGGTCTCTTTTCAAATTAGTATTTTTGTAGATTCCTAGGAGTGGAATTGCTGGATCATATGGTAGATCATATGGTAGATCCATTTTCAATGTTTTGAGGAACCTCCACACAGCTTTCTATAGTGGCTGGAATGGTACTTTAAAAAAAAAAAAAAGTAGGTACTTAAAGAAAAAAAAGGAGGTATTTAAAAACCTTCACAAAAGTATTTTTAAAAAACCTTAAAAAAAATCACAGATAATTCCATTGAATTAGGATGGGGATGAAAATCACCCTCTCCTTTAATGCTTACTTAATCCTCATTCTATTACACTGTGACTCCCATCCCAAGTACCCTGCTTCGACTGTTCTAAGTCACCAGTGCTTTTTTTAATGTCAACCAGCATGCCAGGTTCTTATCTTCTTACTAGGTGCTCTTTCCACGTGATCCTATTCACATCCATGGCTTCAATGACACATCTTGTATGTTTTTTTTTTTTTTCAAAGTTGATTTATAGCTCTGCCTCTTTCCTACTTCCCAGTAGTCCCTGAAATTAGTTTTCAACAGTACTTATTATCACCCCCTCCACACACACATCTAAATCTATCCCCTCCTTACCAGTGTTAAAACCCTGAAGTCAACCTCAGCCCTTTCACAACCCTGATAACTTTGTGGCCTGCTTATTCCTCTGCCATCTCTCCATCCTCCCCTTCCACCCTATCCTTGCTCTGCAGCTAAGGCGGCCCTCTCCTCTCCATCTTACTCCTTCACCTTATACTCCTGAGAGAATGAGGTGCCTAAGAATGAAAGTTCTCCCATGCTTAAAAATACTGTTGGTTCTCCAAACTCTGCTGGATAAAATCCATATTTCTGGCCCTCATCTTTCTTCAGACATGCCATGTCCTTTCATGATTATATGACAACCTCACTGCCCAGAATTCTGCCTGGCAAACACCTATTCATTCTTTAAGCTTCAACTTGAATGTTGCCTTTGGGCCAACCCCAACTTGAATGATGCCTTTATGAAATAGAAAAGGGCCATGTCCTCCAGGTAGACACAGGCCCTCATGAGGCACATGCCTGGGTGGTGGAGCAGGGACTGAATTTCATCTCTACTCCATCCTTTGCCCTGGTGCCTTTGTCCAGAGCAGAACCTGCATAGTCACATGCAGT